TGTTAAATTTTTTGGAAGTTTTTGTTATTTTATTAGTCTTTATCATTTTTAATTGTTTTCGGTTTTCTTTTTTTCAGTTAAAGTATATTGTCATCACGAATATTAATATTTATTTTTTAGAATATTATTTATTTTTATTTCAGTATAAATTATTTACTGCGAACCACGGAAAACAGATGGACGGATAGATATTTGTTATTTATTTTAATACATCAAGTTAAACTAAATGAAAATGAGAAATCAAGTAAAAAAATATATTTACATTTATTTAATATTTTATTTCAGTTAGTTTATTTTAATAACAAAATCATTCATTCTTTCATAATACTTTTTTTAAAGTTTTATTGTAGTTACAAAATGATATTTTGTTAATATTATTTATCTGTATTTTAATATAAATTATATGTTATTTCTTTTATTTATAAAAGTTTAATTTAAGGTAAAGCATTTTATGTTTTATTTCAGTTAAAGTTTATTTATGATTGTTTTTGTAATACTATTTATTTTTATTTTAATATAAATTATCTGTAATTTATTTATATTTATAAAAGTTTACTTTATGGTCTTAGTTCTAGTTAAAAACCCTGTTGCCATGGTGACATGAAGCGTGCAGTAAAGCGCGGGGAACACAGGCTGTTAGTGATCAGAAGTGGGAACGGATCGATCATCTCACCTTTGAAGCCTGTGAGGGACAATTCAAAGATGAGACACTGAATGGGTTCTTGATTCAGTCCGGCTGTGTGTTTTGGGTTAAAAGCCATTAACACACACTTCTGACGGTCTGTTTCAGCCTGAGAAACTCTAATCAGCACATTAGAAGTACCGTCTGATGTCAGGATGGAGGAATCAGATTTATGAGCGGAGCATCAGCCGGATCATCCAGGATTTTCTAGTTGGAAGCGTGTCGATTAAAAATATCATGGTGGAACTAATTAGTGTTGATCAAAATAAGTTGTTGAACTTCTTTAGGGTTAGTAATTATGATTTCTGAAAAATTTCCCAGAGGGACTTACAAAACCTCATTCTGCGCACTTAAAAAATGTTCTTTACTTTAAAAATAAATAATTATAATTACAAAATATACAAATATAAAGATGTTTATGTATTTAATAAAATATTTAATGTATTTATTTAAAATTATATATTTATTAATTTAGTTATATAATATTTATTTTATATATAATATTTTTAAATATTTAAAATAATATTTAAATATAGCATGATAAAATATATACACTGGGTACGGAAAGTATTCAGATTCAGTTTTTCTTTTTTAATAAATCTGCAAAAATGTCAACAATTCTGTGTTTTTCTGTCAATATGGGGTGCTGTGTGTACATTAATGAGGAAAAAAAATTAACTTAAATGATTTTAGCAAATGGCTGCAATATAACAGAGTGAAAAATTGAAGGAGGTCTGAATACTTTCCGTACCCACTGTATATTTAATGTAAATAGAAACCTGTATAAAAATCTCTAATTAATTTACATTATATTACATCATATTACAGTGCCACTATTGAGCTTCAGCTCGTCTGTATTGTTGGATCGACTGTTTCTCATCTTTCTCTTGAAAATATCCCATAGACTCCATATGGGCTTCAGGTCAGGCATGCTGGCTGGCCAATCAAGCACAGTAATATCACTGGAAGTGGTTTTTTTCACTGTGGGCAGGTGCTAAAGTCCTGCTTGAAAAGGAAATCAGCATCTCCATAAAGCTTGTCAGCAGATGGAAGCATAAAGTGCTCCGAAACCTCCTGCTAGACGGCTGCATTGACTTTAGACTTGATAAAACACAATGGAGCAACTCCAGCAGACGTCACAGCTCCACAAATCATCTCTGACTTCAAAAACTTCACCCTGGACTTCAAGCAGCTTGGATTCTGTGCCTCTCCAGTCTTCCCCCAGACCTTGATTTCCAAATGAAATGCTAAATTAACTTTTATCTGAAACGAGGACTTCTGGAGCACTGAGCAGCAGTCCAGTTCTTTTTCTCTTTAGCCCAGGTGAGATGCTTCTGACGCTGTTTCTCTTTCAGAAGTTTTCCTGAAGACGTCTGAGCGTGGTGACTCTCGATGCACTGACTCCAGCTTCAGTCCACTCCTTGTGAAGCTCTCCCAAGTGTTTGAATCGGCTTTGCTTGACAGTATGCTCAAACTTGTGGTCATTCCTGTTGCTTGTGCACCTTTTCCTACCCATTTTCTTCCTTCCAGTCAACTTTGCATTTAATATGCTTTGATACAGCACTCTGTGAACAGCTGTTCTTTCAGTAATGAGCTTCTGAGACTTACTCTCTTTGTGGAGGGTGTCAATGATTGTCTTCTGGACCATTGCCAAGTCAGCAGTCTTCCTCATTATTGTGGTTTCAAAGAACAAGAGATACCTGGAATTTATACTGTAGGGATAGTCATTTAACGAAACTCAAATGTAAATATTCTAATATTTTGAGATACTGGATTTTTGACTTTCATGAGCTGTAAGCTCTAATCATCAAAATTAAAACAAAAAAAACTTTTGAAATGGTTTACTTTACATGTAATGAATCTAGAATATATGAAAGTTTCTCTTTTTGAAATAAGTTACAAAAAAGGAACTTTTTCACGATATTCACATTTTTTGAGATGCACCTGTGTATGTATATATATATATATA